TTTTTGTTACCAATTGACGTGGCATATGACATGTCAATCCAAGTCATGCGCCGCATCCTCATTTTATTTTGTCTTATTTTTTTAATACAAATTTATAAATAAACCCTGAACTCTAAACATGTCTTCTTCTTTTTTTATTAACCTGGTATTAATTTTTATAAATTTTATGTGTTTATCTCCTTAACAATCATCTCCACCATCGTTCATCCATGGTACCCAGCCACGACCCATGAACGGTACGCCCTCCATTGCCGCTCTACACAGCTCCTCCGTAGCCTCTTTCGTAGTCACCACCACCATCACTCAAATTTTTCAGAAAACTTTAGGGGAAAAAATCCAGATGGAAGAACACCATTAATTTTTTTTTATTACATGAAAGAAAAGAAAAATACCAGTTGCATGGAATACTCATCTATATATGTAATTCCATAAGATCGGTTTTTTCCCTTTTTCTTTTTCATGGAATAACATAAAATCTTCAATGTATCTTTAGGAGTGCAAAGAAGAAAAAGCAATAATACTGATTCACAAACCCAGATGAGCATCACCATACACATATAGAAACTAGCAGAAGAAACCAGATCTGAGTCTCAACTTTGATGAACTTGGAAGACCATCAACTATGAGAACCCCATCAAGAAAGATGAAGGGCTCGGGACCAAACCAGAGGTGCACCTCGTTGCCCAGTCTGTAATATATGTGCTTGGTTGATAGCCATGGAACCCAACACCAACTATTACTAGGGTGCAGAGGGAGCACCATAGATCCTCAATGAGCAAGTTTGAAAACATTTTTTATTTTTTTTTAAGTTTAGTTAAAACTTTAAATTTTGGGTAATTAAAAAGATGATGTGGCAAATTACATGTATTGCCATGTCATATGCCACATCAATTGGTAACCAAAAGTTAGTAAAAGAGTTGGTGATCGTAGCATTACCGAATACAATAACAGTTTAGTTGTGGGTATTTTAGGAATTGAAAAAGTACAATAAATTCAATTTTGCACTTGATTAGGTAACTTGCCGTTTTGGATCATAATCATTGAGTTTTATTTAGAAAAAACATAATTTTATTCCGACAAAAATAAAGAGATGAGTTGTAGTTGAGGAAAGATGACTTTCAAAGGGTTAAAGCTAAATGTACTATAAATTATTCACGTAATTGGTTGGGGGAGGAACCTTAGCAGTAAAATATCTCCTAAGGAATGGGTGAGATTCATATTTTTTTGCTTGTTTAGAAAATTCATGGTTTCATGGAATCCATAGTTTCACATATATGTTGGAACGGTCGAAGAGAGTTTTAAATGGCTACAAAACTTTGATCAACTAACATACATGCACTTGAAATCAGTTTAACAATTTTCGACCAAAAAAAGAAAAAAGAAATCAGTTTAACAATTTATTCTTTGATTAATTAACATGCATTGCTTGATGAACTCGTGACTTTGCATGTATTCATATATCATTAAAGAAACAATTAATTAGTTTAATTATCACATTACACATGACAATCCAAATTAAGGTTACATAACATACCACAATTAGATCGATCCAATTTCCAATGATTCGGGAAGCTTTTTCTTGGCATTCCAACTGATAGTTCTCATCCTTCAGGAGAAGGCAAAAAAAAAAAAAAAAAAAAAAACAGACATCAGTTAAAACAAACATAAACACAAAGATTTAGTTTAAGATCCTCTTTGTACATGTTATAAACAGCATTTAGATATAATTAATGCATACCTTGAACCAGTTTAGGACAGTTCTTTTGTAGCCTGTACAAAATATAATAGCATCGTGCCATTTAAAGTAGCCATTCTCAAATTTAATTATGTTCCTTCTATGTTTGTTATGGATGGCAAGACCGGATGAGGAATATTTCATCAATTTTTATTGAATATTGTCACCAAACATGACAAAGGTGATCATGTCATATTATATAGAAAATTAATGAGAGATAAATTCGATCATCAATTAAGGAATTGATGTGAAATTATGAAGATATAAATTACACATGCATGTGTAAGTATCTTTATTTCTCTAGCTTTAATTTTCTTAACACAAGCCCAACGTGCGGGGGCTCAACTTTGACAAAATGAATGACAACCCAAATGCAATGGAGATGGAGGGTGATGTACAAGAAGAATATCATATTACTCAAGGATCCGAAGTACAATAAGTAGAAACATTAAGGAACAAGATTGCTGCAAGTTCAATGCATGCATCTTCTTAGACATTTTCTATAGTTCCATGTATTTAAGTCTAGTTTCAAATTTTTTTTTTATTGCTATAATTTGAACCTTATATTTAAATTTTTTTCGGTATTTAAAAATTCTAACATCAGTAAATCCAGGCAGCAGCCTAGACAAGTCTTGCTTTTGGGCTTGCCCAAGTTGATGGAGCCCACTTCTTGTCCAGGCTAGCCTTCACCGATGGAGTTGGTTTTGGGGGCTAGAGGGCCTTCTGTCCATGCTGGCCTGCATGGGTGGAAGTGCTCTTAGGATTTCTTTGGACTTCTATATATAGCGGCTTGGAGTGGAGGGCTTTATATAGAAGCACAAGCAGCAAAAAGAGTAGACTACTCATTGAGAAGAAATCTTCTTGATATATTTGCAAGTCTACAAGGAAAATGACATCAGTGTGGCCAGGGCTTGAAAAACCAAATGGTTTTAGAGGCGTAAAGAAAATGGCACCAGTGTGACCAGGGCTCGAGAAACTGAAGGAGTTTGGTGGCAAAGAGAAAATGGTGTCGGTGTGGCCAAGGCTCGAGAAATCTAAAGATTTGGGAAGGAGAAAAAAACATGGCCCCAGTGTGGCTAGGACTAAGAGCATGTCCACCGCTGCACCAAACCTGGGCAAAAGGCCCCCCTGGCAACCCATTTCCAGCTCCAGCGCACAGCAATGAGCCCAAGCAAATGGTGGGTCCCACCAGCCTGGGCAAGCCCACGGGCTAATCTTGCTTGGGCATCAAAACTCGGGCTGCTGACGTCAGCAGCTGATTTTCAATTTTTTTTTTACTGTTGGACCCACCAGCCCACATTGCCCAATGATTACATGCCATGTGGCTTCTCCTGGAGCCTCCGATCAAAAAATCTTGCACAATCCAACGGTTGTCCAATTTTTGGCTAAAAAAAATTTAAAAAAAATATCAAAAAATTATGGAAATTTTTTCTATATATACCTACCAATATTATTCACTTTCCACACCAATTTAATTTCAAAATTTTATCCGAAAATGTTATCTTGATTTTTAGGTGAGGATTTTACGATAAATATTAACACTTGGGAATTGAAAATCTTATCCGAAAAGCTTATCAAAATCAATGGTTTAAGAATAAAAAATAAAAAATAATTTTAAGTGAATAGTAATTGCCTTAGACTTGCCCTAGACTTAGCCCTCATGGGTGGAACCACAAATGGCAAGGCTAACACTATTCACGTGAATAGTGGCAGTCCTTGATTGCCCTTGCCTTAGACTTAGCCCTTGTGGGTGGAGATGCTCTAATAAACTGAAAGACTTGGTTGATGCAAAGGGAATTGAGATCGGCCAGTATCCGGTGTGGCGAGGACGTGATGGACTGGCTCTATCGTCCAATTGTTTTGTTGTTGAGTTCCCATCATTTTCCTTCTAATCTAATTCCTTCTTGTGCACAAATACGTTATGTTTGGTTGTTCTCTCATTCTCTCTTAGTAATAGTCAGCTTTCTTTTTCTTTTTTAAGATACATACTAATGTAATTTTTAAATTGAAAACCAAAATTCCGTGTTTGGATATAAAATAAAATAAAAATAAAGAAATCCAAAAATTCCATGTGGGAAAAAAAAAAAGGAATTTGAAAGTGACAAATCTCAACTTTAAATTCTATCTAAATAGTTATCATTCATAAAATTCTAAAGTACCGCCAATCTTCCTCACAATGTTTTACCTAAATTTGAACATGAAAAAAAGTGACTCAAAATTGTATAGGAGCGATTGTCAGAAACTTTGTATCAAATTTCCTGATATTTTTCCGACTTTTTTATATATTATAATTCTTTTAAAATATATCTCAAATTACACTTGACACAACTAGCATAAACACATTTTGAGTTGAGCCAAATTTATTTTATGGGTCTTGTGATTGGATATGGCCTGACTTGAGTAGTACCAACCGAAAAATCGAAAAACCGCAAAAACCAACCGATAATTTACCGCAATCGCGGTAAACCGAACTGCATTTGCGGTATTAAGAACCGAACCACATTTGCGGTTGCGGTTGCGGTATTTGATTTTCAAAACTTGCGGTTACCGCAAACCGCAAAGTATAGCCACACGGATGATAAAGTTGAATTTTACAAGGAAATGGAACATATGACAACTTGTAAGTAATTAGTTTATTTATGCTAATGTTATTTATGCTTCTTCTTATAATAAAATGTACTAAACTATGTTGTTTTATTTGTAGATAACATTGGTGCTCAAACAATACAACGGGGTTCTTCAAATCCACTCACCACCAACACTTGAGTTTGTAACTTTAGTTTGTAACATTGGTGCATTACATTTTCCTTTTAGTTTGTAA